ACCTTGATTCCAAAGGGGGAGATTGTTAGGGCTAAAATGTTGTAATAGTCGAAGGTTCAGTTTGATTGTTATAAAGTATCTGTTGTCTTCGTATATATAGGTCTTCAGATGTATTGTTATTTTACTAAGGCATTATAAAGTCAAGTCTTAACGTTTAGTCCTTAGTACTGTTATGCTTTTGTTCTCCTATAAATAGGGGTCTGTACTAGTGATCTAGGATCACTTTTCACACGGTCTTTACAGTTTAATCTTTGTATTCTGTAAACACAAAAGTCATAATACGAGCTGAACAAATATTCTATTTACTCTCGTGTTCATCGTTAATACTTTACTCAATTCATACTAGAATTACATTGAAACTCGATTCCAAATCTCATCAACCTTGCTTCTCCTTCTATAATCTTGCTAACTTCTTGTTGTCTCATGCATTTTTCTTGGCCAAAATGCTTCATCTTCCTGCTTAATTGCTTTATCTTGCTGCTTGCTTCCATCCTTCCTTCTAATCACTAAACCTGATCACCCTTTCTGCTTGTTGTCTTTCTTGTCTGCTACTTGCTACAGACTACATGCTAGCTATCTTGCTTTTCTTTCTTGCAACCATCCCTCTCCTGCTTGTTAATCACTTGCTTCCTGCTTTTTCTTTCTTACTTGCTAACAAACAACAAAATTCTGCAAAACATGATTGGACTTCTTGCTTGCTTTCATTCTTTCTTCTTTCTTTCTTTCTTTCTATCTTTCTTCTTTCTTCTTTCTTTCTATCTTTCTATCTTTCTTCTTTCTTTCTTTCTTCTTTCTTTTCAGCTGTGCAGCCTTTCTTCATGCTTACTGCTTACTTTCTTGCTACATATCATATCACCAAACTTCTTGCTTTCATCCTCTCCTTTTTCTGAGAACCAGGTGTGAACCTGGGTGCTTTGATACCAAATGTTGGTAATCAACCTTCCTTTAACCCAACTGCAAACAACCCCAGAACATACATGCTGGCAACGACTCTCATATATTGCTCAAGTAATTGTTCTCACTGCTATATTACTTTCAAGAAAGATAAACTGAGTACATTTTTAAAACAAATGACAACCTAATCTATTTATAAACTATTGTACCTAAAAAATAGGCACACATCCTAACAGAAACATGGGTATACAAATGACTGAATAATCTCCATAATACCTGGTCCATTCCAATGCATATCAGTCAAAGTTATGACCTTTTTTTTTATTCAACTCAATCTTCCACATCAAGATTATATCCAACAGTCATATTGTTTAAAAAAATGTTAGATTTGCACAACAATAAAGAGTCCTTGTTCATTCCTAGAAATATTTTTCCTTATAATTATATGTTTTTCATGAGAATATCAAGTTTTATGTCCATTATTTATATTATTTTTCATTCATCATGCCGTTCTCACGAGAATGCCATATAACCATTTGTAATTTAAGTTTATTGTCATGAGAATATTATACTTAGCATGTGTTGTTTGTATTTATTTTTTCTTTCATTGTATCATTTTCATGAAGAATGTTAGTTTTTGCAGATGTAAATTATTTTTATTTTCATGAGAATTATTAAGAATCGGACATTACCAAGACATTAATGAATTTTAAAATGAGTATGTGCATATGCTCTATATTATTTATTTAGATATTAATAACATGATGAATATGATGTGAATGATAAGAATGATCGGTAATGGAACAATAGAATAACACATAATGAAAACTGAGAACTATCAGAATGATGTGCAAGAATGCAATAACAAATAATGAAAAATTAAATTCTTCAAAAGAAAATCCAAGAAATTGATTTGTATCCGAAAAGAAACAAACGAAATTATAAATCGATCGAGAAATCAAATATAAGAAAAATAAGATATTAGAAATGAAGATTCCTAAGTATATATAACAATATGTGGACATTGGATAATATTTGTAGGGAAATTAAAATCATGACTTCTTTTAATAAATTTCAATATTGACTATCTTTCCTTTTATATTTTTTTAGAACGAGTGTAAATATGATAAAAAATAAACAACTAACAAGGTGCTACTAGGTATTACATAATATAATATTAGTATCTAATATTCAACTTTTCAATAAAAGTTTAACAAATGGAAATTAAATTCTTATGAAACCAATAAAAACTGTCACATTATTGAGTCATCGCTTATGAATCGTCTTATGAATCTATTGCATGGTGATGTCGCATCCTTTTTTTGTTTTTTGTTTTTTTGTTTTTTCTTTTTATTCAACCGATATAAACATGGTCAAAATTGTATCACACAAATGGATTCTCTGATCACATTAGTACGTACTCATCTCTGTTATATAACACGCCTCAGCTGACGTTTTTATATCACAAAACTTTCACACTTACACACATACGAAAATGGAAACATGCATCATGCATGACTCGTGAACTTTGAAAGCAAACCACATGTGGCGTTCATACCATTTCCAACACAAAGCCACATCAAGTGTATGCTGAATCTAGCAAGTTTACTACACCACAAGGGCCTCAAATAACCTTTGCAACACCACAACCGGTTCCTCATGTCCGGAGGGCCAGACTCTCTCTAGGGTGCACCAGGGTTCCAGTTGGAAACCATTCCCGATGGTCTTCCTTATGATCCTGTAGATTACAACAAAGTGGAGGCTACTCAAGACATGACTGAACTCTGCAACTCTCTTCGAACCAACTGCTTAGCTCCCTTTCTTGACGTTGTGGGCTGGGCTATAGAGTCCACTTACCTGAAGATTACAGTAGCAATCTTCTATTTCTGGACTGTTGCTGCTAGTGCAATAATGGGGTTTTACCAAGCTCCAATTCTAGTTGAAAATGAAGTTATTCCCCTTAAAGGTTTGTTTTCCCACGAAAATTTCTTTTTCCGATATGATAATATTAGGAAATTAAATGTGAACGAAAATAATGATAATTTAATTTGTGTTTCAAATTTAATATTTTCTTTTATACTTTTATGCGTTTGGATCCATTCATATAACTGTTAATACTTAATATCAAATATTTTAAATGGTATTAAAATATGTGAATAATCAAGATAAATTTAAAAGCTTCAATTATATTATTCATATATATATATATACAATTTTGTTGAATACTCATTTTGAAGATTGATCGAAATTTCATTAACCTGTAATAAAACTTATTAATAATAACCTACAAGCAAATAATAAAAATAAACAAAATTTTAATGTTGCTTATTAGTTTCGCTCATTTTAAAAGTATATGACACCTCATATATTTTACATAAAATAATTTATATTTATTAGCAACTTATTTAACAAATTATTTTCATTGATACAAACACTGGATAACGATATAAATTTATTGACCTGAACTAAAAATGGTTACAAGTAGAGTTTTAACTGTTCGTTTTTGAAAATAACGTTTAACATTAATAAGAACTAAAAACTAGTTATTATACATCTTTGTGAAACTCGTGTATTATATAGATTTATTAAAAAACTAGGTTATAACCTTAAGAAAACTCGTGTATTATATAGATTTATTAAAAAACTAGGTTATAACCTTAAGAACCACAGTTATAAAATAAATTAAATATTCATAAACTGATTTTGAAATAGAAATGTCAATCAATTCATATTATCACTATTACCATCATATCAAATGGTAACTTTGAATTTAGATTACCTAAAAATCGTTTGAATTTATTATATTTATATAGTTAGATTCTTCAATTACTCAATTTATTAAATTTGTTATTTTAATAAAAAAATCTTCTAGCATATAATATATTTGAAGGTGATTGCTTTTTGTTTAAATAACGGAAACAATGTTTTCCTGGCATACACTTATTTTTTTTTACCTTGAGCTGTTTTATTCCAAATACAATTATCTACCTTTATTATGCTTACATGTTATTGTCGCTTGTACTTGTTGTTTATTGACTTGTAATGTTTTGACCAACTCAAAGTCGAGTGAAGATTACATGTTTTATCTTGTGGGGTAATAATATTCCGGCCATAACTCTTTGATATGTGTAAAATGAAGGAGTTAATTATTGGAAATTTAATTAATGTGGAACAACCTTATAATAACAAGTGTCAAATAATTAATTTGAAGGTCTAATTGTTTGATACATGGCAAGTGTGCTACTCTTTTATTAGGTAGGGAGATATGAATATTTATAAATATATGAAGTTTGAATTTATAAAAAAAATATTAAATTATTAAAATGTAATTTTCAATTTATTATTTTTAACTTTTTTTGTTTCTTTTTTTTTAATTTAAACAAATAATATGTATATATAAATAAACAAACAAAATAACTGTATTAAATTTAGAAACTTAAAAATTAAAAAGAAAATTACATTAATTAAATCCATATATGCATTTATAATTATATTTATTACAATTATTATATTTAAATATTATATGGAATTTAAATAACTAGAAAAACAATAAAATGACATGTAAAAAAAAGATCAAAGGATCTTAAAAAATGACACATGTCAAATGGAATAAGAATATGATATTTGGTAAAAATGATTTTCATTTATTAGAATTGATTAATCTAAATTCAAGGAATTCATGGTTTCGTGTTTAATATAACATATTATATTGATGGATCAAAATTCTTAAAATAAAAAATTGTTTGATAATAAAGTGGAAATACATTTGTTTTTGAATTAGGCACTTATGTATTGTTTGGTTCACAAAATGTATCTAAAGGAATTGGAAACGAATCTGTAGGAATTTGAATCTAATTTTATATATTATTTGGTTAGCAGGAAATGAAATTAGAATTAATTTTATATACTATTTGATTGGCATAAATGAAATTGCAATCCATCTAAAATGATAGAATTACATTTTTATATGTTTTACTTAGTTTTACTTTGTTTTCTATCTAACATGTAAATATATAATATCTAAACTATAAAAATAGTAAACTTTCATTTTGTTAATTGACCATTCATGTTGTTGTTGTTGTTGGTGGTGGTGGTGGTGACGGTAGCAATGGTTGGTGGTAATAGTGGTGGTGGGGTGGTAGTGACGGTCATGGCAGTAGTGGTGACGGTGGCAGGTAATGACGGTAGTGCTGGTGACGGTAGCAGTTGGTGGCTGGTGTTAGCGGCGATAGTGTTGGCGGGTGGTAGTGGTAGTGATTTTAGATGGTGGTGACGGTAGTGGTAGTGGTGATAGTGGTGGTAGTGATAGTAATAGACGGTAGTGGTTGTGGGTGGTAGTAGCAATGGCAGTAGGTAGGTGGTGGTGGTAGTAGCAGTAACGTGGGTAGGTGATAGTGGTGGTAGGTGCTAGCAGTGGTAGGTAGTGGTGATGGTGACGGTAAGTGGGTGGTGATGGTAGCGAGGGTAGGTGGTGATGATGATGGGTGGTGGTGGCGGTGGTGGGTGGTAGTGACATTGGTGTGCTGGCTGTGGTGGTAGCGGGTGGTGGTAACGGTTGTGGTAACGGAGGTAGTAGGTGGTTGCGATGGCGGTGGTGGTAGGTGGTGGCGGTGACAGTATTGGTGGTAGTTGATAGTGGAGGGTGGTGATGGTGGTTGTAACGGTAGTTGTAACGGTTGGTGGTAGTGTTAGTGGGTGGAAGTGGCGGTGATGGTGATCGTGGGTTGTAATGGTATTGATAATGGGTGGTAGTGGAAGTGGTGGTAGTGATAGCGATGGTTATTGGTGATGGTAGTAGTAGTGGCGGTAACGGGGGTTGGTCGTAGTGGTGGTGGTGGTGGGTGGTATCGGTGGTAGGTAGTGGTGGTGGTGACAGTAGGTGGGTAGCGGTGGCAGTGGGGGTAGCAAGAGTAGGTAGTGATGATGATGGAAGGTTGTGGCGGTAGTGGGTGGTGGTGACATTGGGGCTGGCGGTGGTGGGTGATGGTAACGGTAGTGGTAACAATGGTGGTAGGTTGTTGCGATGACGGTGGTGGTAGCTGGTGGCGCCAATAGTGGTTGTAGGTGATGTTGGAGGGTGGTGGTGGTGACGGTGGTAGTAGTGCTAATAGGTGGTGGTAGTGGTGGTGATGGTGGATGATAATGGTAGTGATCGTGGTGGTTGTAGTGGTGAAGATGGTGGTAGGTGGGGGTGTAGTGGTAGCGGTGGTAATTGATAATAGTGGTAGATGTTATGTTGTGAAATAAAATATGGGTAATAAGGTAAAATGTCACTTTGCTTAGTAGTAGAGAATTATTTTCATATTCTTAAAGGAAAGTGTTATCTTATATGATGAAAATGTTTTTTTATCATAACAAGTTTAACTGGAATACAGTGGAATTGATTTTTCTCACATGAATTTTATTCCTTTCAACGAACCAAACGCGTGTTTTTATAATATTTATACTAGTTAATAAATAAAATTAAAAGTAGATATTTAAAGGATTTAATTAACAAGTTTAGAAATGGTCAACTTTTAAAGAAATTAACTTTATTACAAAAATACCGTTAGATCCTTCATTTCTTAAATCCAACTCACCAAATATTTTTTATTGACAGCGGAAATGAATGATTACAAATATTTTCTCCAAATCTCACAAAAAAAATATTTAAAAATTATTGTTTTATAAAATATAATAGAATTTTTTAATATAAATTCAAAACAACAAATGATAAAGTTCTTGGTAATATTAATTTGGTGAGTTTGTAAAAGAAAATTTTTATGAAATATATTGTTAAAGATATAAACATTTTGTTTAAATAATTCTAGATTTTTACAAAATTATGATGTTAACATTTTTCTCGTTTATATATATCCTATATTATGAAATTTTTGAAAAGAAATATTTACAAGTAAGGTTGATTAGATACCAAACTTTATTTTAAAAGATTATAATTTTTTTAAAAAAAATGATGAACATCATCTGATCCAAAATAACATGATTCAAAATATTTATGATTAAAAAAATTATAATTCAAATATTTATTATCCGTAATTTATTTTGATCTAAAAATATATTCACTCAAACATTTTATGATCATTAATTATATCTATTATTATTCAAAATTAAATAATTGAAAATACATAATGATTTAAAATATGTCTTTCTTATAACAAAAACATTATTTAATTGAATATATTATTCATCGAAACTCATATGATTTAAAAATGATATGATCCAAAATAATTTGATTCAAAATATTTTGATCCACAAATACTATGATTCAAAAATAATATAAAAAGTGAATATTATGATCCTTAATATATTTATTAATTAAAAATTTGATAATTGTTTAACATTAAAAAACTCAAACGGATATTTAGTTTAAAAAATAATAAATAAACAAATAAATAAACAAAATCACTACCATCTTCAAGTACGTATTAAAGAAATTACAAAAAAAATATATTAAAAAAAGATAAAAATGAAAAAAAATAATTTTAAGAAATGAAAAAGTAAAAGAAACACGAAAATAATAAAGCATAAAAATAAAATCAAGAAAAAACATGAAAACCAAGTATATATATATATATATATATATATATATATATATATATATATATATATATATATATATATATGCTTAAAAATGTTGATTTTATTTTTTAAATTAGAAACAATAATAATAATAAAATTCAGTTAAATGACATTTCATGTATTCTCGTCACACTTGATTAAGTCATCGAGTTAGAATATAATTACCAATGACGTGAGTGGTATGCGAACGCATCACTAGTAACTATTGGGTTTGACGTTTGTGCCCTTCAAGAAATGGATACCAAAGAATTGTCCACACCACTTTTTAAGTCATTACCGGAGTGGGACCATATAAAAAATACAAAACATAAAACCGAGCATAGATCTATGACCGTGAGAAAAAAAAATGTGAAAAAAAATTTAGATCATTAAAATTGAATCATAGATTATAATGATGCAAAATAGAAAATTAAATTTGAATCATGGAACAATTTTAACAATGCATTTTTTTTTTTCCAATTTTTTCTCCCGGACCTAGATCTATGCTCGATTTTATGATTTGTATTTTTTTAGATTTTGTTTTCAATTTTTTTCAGGTGTCTTCACGAGCCCTCACTTTAAATGAGTCCTCATAGAACATATATATATATATATATATATATATATATATATATATATATATATATATATATATATATATATATAGACACACACACACACACACATGACAATTTAATCATGTCCGACAAACGTCCATGGAACGTCATTTAAGTGAGTTTTATTATTTTAATTTTTAGTGTGTGTGTGCATGTGTGTGTGTGTGTGTGAGTGAGAGAGAGAGAGAGAGGAAGCTTAAGAATGTGAGAATGAATCTACCGCTTAAGCGATTCGTGATTCGTGTACTCGGGGATGGAACGTATAATATTCATATATGAATATATATATATATATATATATATATATATATATATATATATATATATATATATATATATATATATATATATATATATATATATATATAAACTACTCCTAAACTAACACTTATAAATCCACCTACATCTACGATGAGACTTGAACCCTTGACCTTAAGGAGGAAGATATCATTTAATACCGATGGGCTAGGTGCCCTTTGATATATATATATATATATATATATATATATATATATATATATATATATATATATATAAAAGTGTATTTATAGACGAATACACATATTCATATATGAATATGCATATGTTTTTGTTCATAAGTGATTATTCATATATGAATATAATAGTTTGTTGTGGAGATGGTGGTTGTAGAGGTGGAGAAGGTGGTGGTGGTGTTGTCAGGCCGGCCCCGAGAATTTAAAGGCCATGTGTAACTTAGTAAAAAATAGCCCAAAACTTGCAAATTCTAAAGTATAAACATTAAAATTATAAATCTGTATTTAATCTCCTAATATATACAAAAAAATATACAAATTTTAAGGCCAAACTTCTCCATTATAGATGTATTAGGAAAACTCCTTATTTATATTTTTTTTTTTCCTGCTATTGCAAGATCAATCTAAATAATGAAATGTAAAAATCTAAATCAAATTTACAAAAAAATGAATAAAAATTCATGGACGTCTGGAGTTGAAAATTTAAAACTGATAATTTGATATAATCATAATTGTTAACTACAGAACTATTAAATTTATTGATAGTTTAGTACCCCTGATTATTTAGAAAAATGAAATAAAAATTTTTTGACTGTTAAAAAACCGAACGTATTACTTTAAAAATCTGTTAAAATCTAAATCAAAATCATATTCTAAAAAGTAAAAATATTTCAAAGATAGAAAGCATACTCAATTACTTATAACTTAAAAGGCGTTGAAACTCAAGAAGATAAAAAGTGAAGCACAGTGTCGTTGTTTGAAGAAAAAAAGAATTGAGAATCAAGCATGAAGGCCATGATTTTTAATAGAAGGGTGTTGTTGTGGTTGAAGGTTTCGATTCATGAACAAGACGGGTGTTTAGATGCTGGGAATTGGGATTTCTGAAGAACATATGAACAAAGATGGAGGAAATTGTCGTCATCTTTTTTAATCCTTGAAAGCATGTGATTTTTTTTTAAATAAAGTGACATCTTAGGAACTATGAGATCATTGCCAAGAATTGAATCGTAGTCTGCCATTAATGGTTTTACCTTCATACCTATGACTAACATTAAGGCTAGCGGGAGAAAAATAAATTATAATCATATTCCCGCATTTAATTCCGATTTCACGTGCTTTGATTTGGAAGAAACAGTGTTCCTGTTTTAGGTGATAGTGTGAAGCTTATTGTCAACAGACATGTACTATTAAGTTGGAAAAAATTAGCCCCTAGTGAAGGATGGACCTGTTCATAAGCACCTCTTGAGTAGGCGGATCCAAGGAGATCTCGGGGTAGCCTGTGATACCCCTCAAATTTTTTTCGATAGTGTAATTTTGTTTATGAATTCTTTAATTTTTTTTCGGTATAATGTATATATATGTATCCCTTCAATTATAAATACAAGCAAATAGTTAGGTATTGGTTAAGGTGCTTCCTTATAGAAATAAAGGTTTCAGGTTCAATTCTTGCTTTTTGCATATTTTTTCTTTAATTTTGTTTTATTTTCTCACTATTCTATCCCACATCACCAAACATATGCAAACTCAACCCTTTTTGTCTATTATATAAGCCTATTATCCTTATACTTCATTTTATATCTACTTTGAATCCCACGTCGATTCAA